CGTATGTTTTTGATCAAAAACACAAAGTGCTTCATAAGAGTTAAAAAAATTAGGCAAAACCCGAAAAAACTAAACTGTAACCTGCTTTAAGAGTGCCTCATATATGAACATGGTTACAGGTTATGGTCACAAAGCTGCTTAATGCGTTTCGTCTATGCTTTCTATTCAGACCAGCAGGTCTTCATCTCTCCGTCTTCTTTAAAGGTCATTTCTCCTGCTGTCTCTGGTGACATTTAGCCCCAAATCCGTCTGATCCAGTCTGTCTTTTAATTCATCATGTGTTTCTCCCAGTGTGCTTTCTAACCAACTTTAAGTTATTGGAGCGGCAGCTTCTGCGTAGACATGTAGTTTACTTAGGAGGGTTTTCAAGGTTTAAGTTTTATTTCTTTTAGTTGTGATTTACATGTGAAAGAACAAAGGAAACCTTCGTTATCATTCACACCGAAGAAGGGCATATTGGTTGCTGCTCCTGTCACTATAAAGTGAGGCTACAGTCTAACAGCTCTGATTGAGGAATATTCTGGGTCTCTGAGTACCAAGTCATACTGAAAACTAGGGCTGAAACTCGGGGTGTAAATAATCGTTTTGTATCGATGCATCGATCATACAGCCGATGATCCGATGCATCGACACGTCCGCAAGATTCATTTTTTTTTTCCTTCCTCTTTTTTTCCCCTCCGGTCTCTCTTTATCCATTTACTCCGGGAACAACTTTGCTACTTCTGTTATTTGCTGTTCTTTATCAGATAAAATGCATCACGATATTTCAGCTTTCATTGATTTATTTCAAATTTGAAACATTTTTTATCCTGTAAGGTAAAAAAATTAAATAATTCAATTAATTGCATCAAATTTAATTGTGGTGTATTCTTGAGTATCGAAAATAATCCAATCATTGCATCTAGAAATTGATACTGAATCAAATCGCCATGATGGGTGTGATTTACACTCCTAGCTGAAACAAATACCCGGATTAATCTTGATTAATCAAGTATTCAAATAATCGTCAAGTATTTTCGTAATTGATTAATCGTTAACTGGAGTGTAGAGACTGTAAAATATGCTTTTAGCTAGAGCAACCCACCTTGAGCAGCAACTTTACCAACATTGTAAAAAAATTATTTAAAAACTTTGTATTTAAGATAAAAAACAAAAATGAATCTGTCAATATGCTCTAACTAGAACTCCTCAAGTGGAAATGTTTTAGTTTCACCTGGTTTAATTTCGTAATAGACAAAAAAGTTGGGTTTTTTTTTATCCTAAATGCATTTTTAGGTATATTCTTCCACAACCTTGGTATAATTGCTGCTCTGTCAGCTAAAGGCAAGTTTTAGAGTCTCTATACTCCATTTAACGATTAACCGATCAATAAATTAGTTGATGTTTATTTCAATAATCGCTTAATCCCGATTAATTGTTTCAGCCCTATTTTTATCATCTGGAAATATCAAAACTATTTGCATATTTCCTGTAATTACTCTAACTTTCTGCAGAGTATCCGTATAAAGAAGTTTTTGTGTTTTAGTTTTATGTTGGACACCTCTTTTCCTCTGTTAATGTGAATAAATTATTGTGGTTAGTTCTGGGTTGTAGATTGACTTAATAAAGAGTCGTTTGTCAGGCAGGCTGCAGTGTCCTCTTATAACTTTAGACCAGTAGCAGCTGTGAGGAGGGTTTTACTGCAAGTCTATCAGAAAAGGACTTCTCTGTAAGGCTAAGAGCCTCCACTTCACTGCTCTGAATAGCTGCCCAGCTGCACTTAATTTATGCACGTTTGTCTCTTTGTGTCTGCATAAGGCTGGGGTTCATCTAGCTCTATCTGCTCTCATACTGTGGATTGGGGCGGTTAATGAGGAAACGACAAAAGCAAAAATCCTCCCCGAATGCATCATGCAGAGGTCTGGTCCGTCTAATGCTGGGCAGATCTCCAAATATCAGTGCAGCTCCTAGCAGATTATTAAGATATTGCTTTTTATAATTATGTGGTTGATGTTTTATGGAAAATTGTTTTGTTTTTTTTGGCTGATCTGCAGATTTTATGAGCACATTTATTTAACAAAGAAGGTCAGATGTCAAAAGAAAACTACAATGACTATAAGCTCTGATTGATATATGCTTATAGAATAGTTGGCATTGATTCTTGTATGTTGAGCTAATTAGATAATTACTAATAAACATCTTATACACATGCGAAAGCCCTTGATTAATGAAAGACAAAAACACAATGGACGTAGAAACAACTTGAGTCTAATGAAAGCAGCTTTAAGTAAAATCACGTGATTTTATAACAACCGACAGCTTTGTCAAAATCAAATTCGGCATGTCAGGCTTTTTCAAAGATCTGGAATAGGGGATCGGCCAGAAACACATAATGGTGCTCCCCTAATATGTGTGTATATTTATTTAAATATACATGCATACACATACCGTATTTTCACGACCATAAGGCGCACCGTACTAAAAGGCGCAGTCTCAGTTATGTGTGCCATTTCTGTATTTAACACACACATAAGGCGCACCGGACTATAGGGCGCGTTTTTTATATACAGGTACATGTCCTCTACTACCTTTAAATAGCTCTACTGCGTATTTTAAAAATACAGCGGGCCCAAAACTGAGTATGACTGTGCTTTATTCATGTATTTATTACAAATTAATCAAACCTGCGTGCTGGCCGTGAGACAGACACATCGCAGATGACACAGCGCTGTGATTACTCCTAAATTAACTTAAAATCCTGAAACCTGCCGACGGAATATGTTCGCTTTTATTGCCGGTATCCTGATGCCTGCACTGTAAATTATTTAGATGAAAAACACCTGCCAGCCGCCGTGTGAGGCTGCTGTTGAAGGGATTTACTGTCGGTGTACCGCTGGTATGTGGGGGTCTGAGCGCCTCCGACAGAAATAGATAATCTGGATGAACTGACTGCAATTAAGTTTTCAGGTGGACTTTCTCACTTAAAAACATATTAAAACTACTTTATTCCCACTGATCACAGCAAATATAGCTGCAAGATTTAGATTATTTAGATGAAAAAACACCTGCCAGCCACCGCGGTGAAGAGGAGGAGACCCGCCCAGAGGCTGCTGTTGAATTAAGTTTTCAGGTAGAAAAATAGAGCGGGAGCAAAACTGAGTATGATTGTGCTTTATTCATGTATTTATTACAAAGTATTAATCAAACCCATCAAAGTCATCATCCTCTGTTTCTGAATTAAACAGCTGCACTAAATCAGACATGCCAGTTTCCCCTTCTTCGCTGTCAGAGTCACTTTCCGTGCAGCTCGGCTCCTCAGAAATAATGCCGGCTTTTGCGAAAGCTTGAACAACAGAGCCAGCAGACACGTTAGTCCATCTACAATCCATCCGCAAACTGTGGCGTAACTTGCCCGGCGCTGCCTTCCACTTATCCTGAAACTGTGCTCTCCGTCTGTCATCCACCGCTCCCACGCCGCTCGCAGCCTTACTTTGAACGGCCGCTTTCACACCGATGTCGAGCGGTTGAAGCTCCTTTGTCAGACCCCCCGGGATAACGGCGAGCACAGCGTTCATTGATTCACCTTTTTTTCACATCGGCTGTGAGATGGGCACGCAGCGATGGTGATGCGTGGAAAAAAGCACCTGGTCTCCTCACATACACCTGCCTTTCATCATCTCCCCAACCCGTTTCATTTGCGTTAATATCATATGTCATCAGAGCGCTGTGTCTGTCTCGCTGTCAGCTCCCAGATCAGCTTCTCTGATTGGTTGATGCGGCGCGTCCAGCAGCAAAACTGCGGCGCGCTCCCGACGCGCTGCACCTGCAGCTCAAAACGCGCTGCGGGACCTTTTGCTGCACCTATACGCGCGTCAACCATTTACTTTGCATGTAAACTCGCTGCTTCTGCTGCACCTGCTGGGTCCGGTTCACACCGATGTCGAGCGGTTGAACAGCGAGCACAGCGTTAATTTGTTTCCCCATGTTTTTCACATCAGCTGTGAGATGGGCACGCATGGAGTCACAGATTAATGGTGATGAGTGGAAAAAAAACACCTGGTCTCCTTACATTCAGCCACTCTTTCATCATCTCCTCAATGAGGTGGTCTCAAAAGTCGCAGTTACAACACACATAAGGCGCACCGCACCATAGGGCGCACCGCACATTTTGAGGGGAAAAAAAGACGTTTAAGTGCGCCTTATAGTCGTGAAAATACGGTACATATTAATCAGTCTTAAGTGAATTATTCTGGAAATCTGATGCTATGGCTGTTATTCCCTGCAGCTCGTCTCCTAACGTTAACCGAAATGCATGAAAAAATCTCCCCAGTTCCTCTGCTGGCCCCCTGATCATTTTTTGGAATTGGTTTTAAGGTTGTATTGGTTACCTATAAGGCCCTGAATGCCTGACTGACCTGCAGCCCAATGTGGCCTCCTCATCTTTTGGATCAAATGACCAGTTGCTGCTAGTCGACTAAAGGTCCAGGCTGGTCCACAGCTGATCTGACCTTTCCAGTTGCACTTCCTGAATTAAACTAGTGTTTTAAATCTCTTCTAAAACACATTTGGGCTTTCTGGCTTTGGTTAAAGCAGAAGAAAGAACATCTGGTTTATTTTTTCCCCCTTTTAATCCATGTTGTAATTCGTTGTTTGTGCAGCACTTGGTCAAAGGTCGTCATTTTTAAATGTTGTGGAATTAATACATTTGATTTCTGAGTCTTGATGAAGGAACAGGCAGTTTTTGTAAAGATCTACCTGCTTTACCTTTCCCCCTGGGATACCCCATCCTCCATATGAAATGATACTCTCTTTGTCAGAATTACAAACACTTGAATCTTGAGCCTTTTTTATGTTTCTCTCTTCCTCTCTATAGACACAACCTACTTTTTTCAAAATGTTACACATTTGATCTCACAAACACGTTCTCTATTGTAGGTCTGTAGTCTGGAAGACAGTCTGTGTTTTATTGTGATGAAATAACTTCTGTAACATTTTGCTTTTTGTCTTTGTTTTCTTTGTAGTAAGCATGTTTCTCAACACCTTGACACCCAAGTTCTACGTGGCTCTGACCGGCACTTCATCCCTCATATCAGGACTCATATTGGTAGGTTGTGATTGTTTTTTAAATTTCATCTCAACCCAAACTATTATCAATGATGACATTAAAATAAGAATTTTTTTTCCTGATAAATGTCAAAGTACTAATGTGTGTTTTGTGCCAATCAGGCTTTTGACGATGATGACAGTCAGTTACTTTTTCATGTTAATATACCTGAAACTTTGGTGTACACTGCAAACATTGAAATCAAATTAAGCCAATTTTACCTGAAAGAGGAGTGTGTTTTCCTTTAATTTAAGAATTTGTCAATGGAGTATGAAGGTTTATGTTTCAAATAAGAAAAAAAACTTCTTCCAATTTTTTGGATCTGGTTAGGTTTGATGCATCATTTACGAATGAAATCCCTTTAGTTTGATAACTGTGTGCTTTCCACTCACACCATTAGTTATCCTGTGGAAGGAAAAGCGTTTCTGCTGGCTCCTTTGTCCAGAGTTTTAAATCATAGCACTAATTTGCTGTTAATTGAAATTGCAAAGGAAGCCATAATGATTCTTCATCAGTAGAATCTATGAATGCCCTTCTGTTCTACTGTTGTGCAACTTTATATTTATTGCCCACCCCAGTAGAAGTGGTAAATATGGTATTTAATCAGATAATATTCGGACTGTTATATATTGTTTACGAACACACCTCCTACTGACTGTGTGTTAGAAAAACAATTGAAAGTGTGAATCGAGCGGATCATTTTACATAAATGTGGAAGAAGTTCACCACATAAGAGTTTATTAACAAAAATCATTCAGCTCCAAGTCAAACATATATCAATTAAAAACTCTTAACTAAACTAGTCTAAACTATGTACACAGAAGAAGGAAAAACGCTGTTGAAAGCCATATTAATGAGGTGATGCAATGATATCACTGCTTAGGACGGATCTTGTGTTTGGGAACGAAAGTTTATCTTGAAAAGTGGGCTGATCAGTGGAGCAGTGGGTAGCACTGCTGCCTCGCAGTAAGAAGATCCGGGTTTGATTCCTGACCTGGCTCTTTCTGCATGGAGTTTGTACGCATGGGTTCTCTCCCACAGTCCAAAAACATGACTGTTAGGATAATTGACTCATCTAAATTCTCCTTAGGTGCGTGAATGGTTGTTTGTCTCTGTGTTGCCCTGCAATGGACTGGCGACCTGTTCAGGGTGTACCCTGCCTCTTCCACGTAGACGACGGAGATAGGCACCAGCACCCCTCGCGACCCCGTTTGGGATAAGCGTGACGGAAAATGAATGGAATGGAATTTGGAAAGTGATCAAATTAGCTTTTAACTAATTTAGAGCAACTGGAATGTTTTCAAACTAATTCAAAATGTAAATCCAAGAGATGAATAGAACATTCTATGGAAAACAATGTTTTATTAAAATATTTGCTTAATTAGAAGGATTGTTTATCTTTTTTAGTATGCTAGCAACCAGCAGACATAAGGATTCCCATTAAATTACTTTTGGTCATAGTTTGGTAATCAAAATGTAATCAGCATATGAGAAAACAGATAAACATTGTTATATTAGTGTATTTAATGCGTAATAAAAAAAACAATTTCCAAAGTTCAGAGGACCGCAGCAACCAGCGGAGCTCCGAGGCTAACGGCAGCCAGGGCTAACCACAGCCCGTCTGCAGCGGCCCTCTCTGGGCATAGTCGTGTGTGAAGGACCGCTGGCTCTGATGGCCATTTTTGACTCAGCTTTGAAATCTGTTTTGGAAGGATTAGACTTTGGGTTTTCGTTGAAACGTAAGCAGGAAGAGGCTCTACGCTCATTCATTTTTGAGAAGGACGTATTCGCTGTTTTACCGACAGGCTGTTTGTTTACACTCCCCCACCAGCTTTCTGTCGCGCTTCCTACGTCACAGTCAGTTGCGCTCATTGGTCAGAGCGTTGGACAACAGGCACAGACATGGTTTGAAAAACAACGAGTTGTTTTCATCAACAATCTTCAGATATCTCATTCATCGGGGCCAGATTAAATTACACATTTAATCTCACATTTAGTCTGGTTTATCAGGCTAGGAAACAGTCTGTTATTCAGCAATTTGTTTCTGATGTGAGCTACTGGATCCGCTTAGCCTGGTCAGTCTGGAGTTCTAGCTCCTGGGCACGGGGCCATGATGGTAGCTCCTATGACGGCTTTATTTCCGACAAGAACCTCCAGAGCCTCAAAGAAAAAGAGGAAGAAAAAGGTAGAAACAATTGCTTTGTTATTAAAGCACCCTGGGGACAAAGGCACTCCTCTGTAGGAGTGTCTAGTGATACTGTCGTGGCCTGGGGGACGGTGCAGAAGTTTGAGTGTTCGAACAGCTGCCGAACCTTAATGTTCCTAACACAATGGTTATGTTTAATATGAAGCATGGGTATTGGTCCACAATGTCTAAAGTTATTATCGTGGTTTATGGCACAAGACTACAATTCAGCACACTTAACTGCTCCTCAAACACCTCATAATCCATTGCATTGCACTGGATGAGATCTTTAAGCAGTACATTACACACACATGGATTCTATGTTTTTCCTCTTGCATAGACGGCAAAACGTGCAGCAGTGTTTGATCTGTTGTTGAAAATAGTCCTTCTGTTAATCAACGCGCTCCCTATTCCCTGCAGGCTTTCAGCCAATTTGTGTGGGATGCTTGGAAATGGTTATGAGCTTGGCTCATGCTCTAAAATGACAAAATGAAAACTGGTTTGTTTTTGTCAAAGCAATGGTGCAGTAACAGAAATGTATGCATATCCTATTGGCAATTAAAGCAACATACTTTCTGAGTGTAGCAGGTTCTAAAATGATTTAAACAGGACTGAAAACAAACAAGATATGAAACATAAGAGATATTTTTAAATGGAAAAGCAATGTTTGAAAACCAAAAAGCTAATTTTTATTAAGCTTCCTAGAACTAGGGTAAGTTCTCCCCAGGAACTTATTAAAGCATGAACTATTTTACGTCCTCGTGCTAAAAAAACAGTTACACCCCAGTCCTGCAGCATAAAGATGGTTTCAATGCATTACAAACATGTCATTGGGTGGGATAACCCATACAGAGAGTAGGTTGGGTAGTCTTCTGGTCTGGAACATAGAGGGGAGAGTTTGCAACAATGCCAAGGTGAAAAGACAGCCATCATAGTCCGAATAATTTTTTTTTAGAACAGTTACTGTCAAAATTCACACATACATACCAGTACAAGTGCTTTATACAAGCTGTAAAGCATGGTGGTGTAGGAGTAATGAGTTTGGAATGGAATTAAGCCACTTTCCCACTGAAAACCCGGGTTTTTCAAAACCGGTTTGACCCCCTAACAATTGGCTTTGGCTTCTTTTCCCAGTTTGACCAAAAAGCCAAGTATGATCCCCTGCTGGTAAGCTGCGTGACCACTGTTCCACCCTACTGCGTGTTTGATGACCTTATCATGCTGGATTAGTGTTGATGATGTTAACAGTGCAACAGAAATCAGGGAAGTAAATAATGGAGAGCAACATGGATGGAAGCCAGAGCGTAGTCAGTCAGTATTCTTTATTATTTCACACTTTTGTCCGTCTAAATCCCTCTCTCACGTGCTGTGCCAATGTAAACAGTTGTTTTGGCTTGTTAGAACAGAAGCGACTGGCGCGGTGTGCTAACGTCCAAACGTAGCATTCAATAAAATCATGCAATTAAGCGGGTCAACCTGGTTCTGGTGTTCCAACAGCATGCTGATCAGAGCCGAGGCGATTTTAACACGGATCGCCCGCCGAGTCGTTTAACCCAGGTATACATGCTTCAGTGAGCTTTTCCCACTGCCACTGAAAGCATGTTGTTCCCGGGTTTAAATATGTTTTTCGGCCAGTATGAAAGGGGAATGAGTCAACCATAAACTCGCATTTAAAACTAAAGGGAGGATCAAAATGAGCACAACAAGAACAAAAATAAATACAAAGAAAGAGCTGAAAATCCCACAAAAATGTGAAAAGAAAAAAGTTTAGACGTATGTACCTCCTTGCTGAGGAGGCATGACACTGACAGCTGCTAGTATGATCCCTGGGGGGTTGCTTTTTTTGTTTTTTCCCTCGCTATCTTTACACTTTGAAATGGGCTGCGTGTTAATAAAATTGATGCCAGGTGAAGATTAAATAAAGTCTACTATATATATCGCTCTACATTCCTTTATCACTTTATTAGGTACACTGCTTCATCTACTTGTAAACAAGAATAACAAATCAGCCAAAGACATGGCAGAAATTTAAGGCAAGCAGTCAACCTTTAAAATCCAAAGAGCCTTATTGTCCTGAATCCTTGATAAATAAGTCATTTAGAGCAGCAAATATCACATGACCTGGTATTAAAACGCAACTTATGCCGTTGGTAAAAGATTTCCAATAGTGGATATTTAACATTTTCAACATCCCAACTGTTTATTTTCGTGAATTTTAAAAACTTAAAAAAAAAATGCACATGCACAACCCTGTACCTGCTCCTGAGAGGGAATGCCTACACTTCAAAAACGATCTCAAAATGGGTAAAAATGTCTTAAATTAAGGGTATTTACCCTTAGTTTGAGCATGTAAAAAAGATGATTTGCCAATGGAATGAGTATTTTTACTCTTAAAATAAGGTATCTAGATATTATGCACTTGAAATAAGACAATGTAATTGTTTTTTCTTATTTTAAGTGTAAATTGTCTTGTTCCATTGGCAAAGTGTCTCACTTAAATCCTTAATTTAAAAAAAAATGCACTTATTTAAAGAAAAAATGACTTTGTTAGATTTCATTTTTTTGCAGTGTATTAAACGGGTGTGAGAGCGCGCACGAGTCCATTTCTCCTTGTGCAAGCTGTTTAAAAGTTGCCGTTAGCAACACTCATACAAGCTTACTTTCCAAAAGAAGATTTACAATTTTTCCACCATGTCAGACTCACCACCGCTAAGTGAAAATGGGGACGAGCACGTAGGACGGCCTTACATAAAAATATCACCAGAATGATCGACAATTATCAGGAACACTTATTTTGATGATCCACCCAGAAAAAGAACATCCTTCACTATACCTTTAGAAATGTTTTTTTTTTTTATTCCCTCGAACCTTGACCTAAAATAAATATCATGATAAATGGAAAGTTTTGCAAAGATAAATGCTCCGGCTCCTCTATGTGAAATGAATGACGTGCAGGAAATGCAACTGATCTATTTTTTTATTGACCAAATCAAATTAGATATCACTTTCAAAGAAATATAAGTCTGGAGCCAAACATATATATGCTTGTGTCTGTGCAGAGGAAAATCAAAAATTCAGCTCAGATTTTTGGTAAAATTGCACAGCCCTAATCTACACTAATCTAGACTTTCTTTCTTACTAAGAAAGAACTAATTTCGTTCTAAAGCATTAAATAATTTAACACTCTGAAAACTCAACCATAACTTTCATAACTTTATTTTTAAAATGAAAATTCAGATGTAATGATGGACCGGCTGTTCAGTTTGAAAGTGGAGCGAATAATGTCAGTAACCATGAAGCCGGAGCAGATGGCTGCACGTCCATCTGATCCCAGAATTTCTGACCCCTCAGACTTCTTTAAGTTAAATTTGGTAATCAGGAAAACTGCCAACTGGATTAGCACACACTTAGGTTTTAACTGCAGGCCGTGTTAATGGGCTTTGGTTAGATTGCAACAATAAAGTTGGCGGAGAAATGACTTGCTAATTATGTCTCGTTGATTAGCTGATGAGGTGTTTAGTCGGCTCTCTCCTTGATTGCATTTTGTTTTTGCTTTGTAAGGATTGTCATTAAATCCCTAAATGTATTGCTTTCTGTTCTGCTCATGCTAGTTTAAGTGCCTGTTATTTTTTAAAGGTTTTAACTTGATAGAAACGGTTACCTAAAGAGCCCTACTGTGTCTGTTTTCTTTCTCAGATCTTTGAGTGGTGGTATTTCAGGAAATATGGGACCTCCTTCATAGAGCAGGTGTCTGTGAGCCACCTGCGCCCCCTGCTGGGCGGAGTGGACAGCAGTTCTCCCAGCAACTCCAACACAAGTAACGGGGATGCTGACTCCAATCGGCAAAGCGTATCCGGTAAGAAATAATCACTCACTTCAAACAAGGAATCCAAATGTTAAAGAGAGAAGATGTTTTTTCTCTTTCAGCTCTTTTTAATTTCAACATAATGTTTAAAGTTTAGAGCTTTTTAAACCAGAAAAGATAAACTGAGCAAACTGTAAAATGAAAGAAAATAAATATTTTTGGTCTCTCATTGGATAGATTAGGTTGCAATGAGTAGCGTCAAAGTGTTCAGAATATAACATCAAAAGCTAGTTAAGCATTTATTCATTAGTTTTAGTTTTAACTTCTTTCTGGCTGTTTTTTAAAGGAAAAGTCAGCTCAGCAAGGAATAATCAATTGATCATTATTTATACCTAAAACTAATACGTTCGCTGTGGTTTAATGAATTTAGCCTTAATCAGTAAAAAAAATAAAAACAGTAATTTTCGTCATGTTTCCCGAGTCCTGGATCGGCCATTTTTGCCCAAATATAGTAACACCTCGCTCCTGACATCTTCCGGCAGTGATGTCACAGCACCATTCTCCCCGCTTTACAAGCAAAATCAGTGGGAACTACGAGACACATCTGCCATCAACAACAATTATTGAAGATTTCCAGAGGACTTCACCATTGATATTCGCAAGAGCTATAGTTAAACTGACATGCCCACATGCATGGCAGTTGGATCTTGTTATACATCTGGTAAAAGGGAAAAACTAATTGGTTATTTCACCTTTTCGATTCATGATCCTTCACTGACGGCTTTGTCGTTGGATGGCCAACTTGAAGAGGGAGGATTTGCCATCGAACTTCTGGCCAGAGAAAAAACACGTAACATGTAGCCAATATTCCGAAGAAGAATGTTTTCAAGATTACTTGGATAATAGTGCATTGTGACAAAAACCAGATAAAGCATTGGGACTTGATCAACTGCCGATACCGCACAGTGACATCACAAACCAGTAGGTGGCAGTAGTGTTCTTTGACAAACATGGATGCTGCCAGTAAAGCACATTGAAATGAAATAGCTCTTAATCAAAAACACTTTTTATTTATTGAACCGTATGTGATAATTTCATATTTAATGTACTTTCAGAAGTTTGAATTTAGAACATGACCGGACTTTTCCTTTAACAGAAAATAAATGATAAACACAGAAAATGCATTCATTAATCTAATGGCATGTAGATTACTTAGTTTGAATATTTAGCTCTCATTCTGTCGGAAATGAGAAAATAGACCAAAATATTTATGAACTCAAACTATTCAATACCATGTTGTATTTTTTTTATTTTTAAGAGTAAAACAAATAGGCTTTGGCAGCATTGGTTGAAATTTAACGAAAACCTTAGTTATTCTTTCAAAGCTATTTTTTTTTCCACTAGCAGCTTTGATTTTTATCTCAAATGTTTTTTGTTTTTTTTGTTAAAAATAATAGAAATCTCCTGTAAATCAAAGCTTAGTCCCAAAAATGAAAGACACATTTTAATTAGTGGTTAGAGCATTGCGTCCTGGAGGTTCTGAGTTCAAGTCCCACTCACCCCCACAGACGGCCATTCTAGCTCTCTGAGCAAGACACCAAATCCCACACTGATCCTCGGGCGCCGCACAATGGCAGCCCACTGCTCCCCAAGGGGATGGGTTAAATGCAGAGAATAATTTTTACCGATTTACAAAGAATATAGGGATTCCCATTTACATTTTTTTTATACACACACTCACGCTGTAGAGAAAAGAATCCACCGCCATTCCTAAAAGGTATGATTATAACACACAGTAGAGCGTCTTGATCTAAACGATTTAATCTAAACTCAACCATCTGGATGTTTTCTAATCTAATTTATCTGCCCCCACTGCTTCTCTTGTTTTTATGCCACATCATTCCGTTTCTAAACAAGACATAATTTATCTGGACACGCAGACAGAACACCAGTGTTTCTGTATAATTTCTATTAATTGGAAAATAAAGGTAGCTCTACTTCTGGGTTTAAGTTCTTTTTTCTCTTCTTCTTAAAAGTCAAAAACATTTATGTTCAGAACTGCTTCAAAAAAGGAGCCTTATGTTTTCCTTTACCAGCATTTAAATCGTTTCCAATTTTTACACCAAACTCTGAATGGCTGATTTAAGTGGAACATTTGTCCTTTCTGTCAGAGATGCTGCATTTTTGTGGTACAACTTGTCCTCTGACGCTGCTGCTTTGTGTTCTCTGTCTTCACTTCTACAGAATGTAAAGTGTGGAGAAATCCTCTAAATTTATTTCGTGGAGCAGAATATAATCGGTAAGTCTGAGCAGAGAGAAAAGCATAATCTGTACTGTTGCTGTTATTCTATTTGTTCTCTGGTCTCTATTCTGTCAATACAGAGAAAGCTTCAGCCAATCAAAATATTTTCTTTCAATGTTGCATGAATCTTTACGTCTGTCCCTCTTTCTCCCGTTCTGCTGGGATGCTTTCTGTCTAGTTACACATGGGTAACGGGTCGAGAGCCGCTCACTTACTACGACATGAATCTGTCGGCGCAAGACCATCAAACCTTCTTCACATGCGACTCAGACCACCTGAGACCAGCTGACGCAAGTAAGAACATATAAATAAGAGCTAACTATATGTGCAGATGTGTTGACCTTTGACCTAATGGGTACGGGGCTGTGTCTGCAGTTATGCAGAAGGCATGGAGGGAAAGGAACCCGCAGGCTCGCATCTCTGCAGCACATGAAGCTCTAGAGCTTGAAGAGTGAGTTTTTCTCTTTTCATTTTCTTCTTTCATTATTTTTGCAAAGAACATGATTTGGAAATTCAAATAAAAAAAAAACAACCCAGAATCGAATATTATAAAATGGTTTAATCAAACATAAAGGTTTTGAGTGACATTGCGACTCATTTTTTAAAAGATTTTTTTCCTATTCTAATCTCTTTCCTTAAGTTTAATAAAAAAAAAATTTTTATGTTTTCACATTTTCAAATTAAATAACCTAGTAAATTCTCGATTTTCTATTTTTTATTCAGATTGAGTTGCACAAATAGTCGTCCTTTTAAATTGCTTTTTCCAGATCATTCTTTTCAGTTCTAGGGGGCGGGCTTTCCTCTGCATGGACGCATTTCTATTGGTCTGCAAGGACGTTAGCAACATTTTCATTAGTCAAGAGTAAATGCTTGTATAGGACTTGAAATAAATCTGTAAAACACAATGCAAATTATAAAACCCCGACTTAAGAACAGAAATTTGAATAAGAAATTTAAATAAAATTTGCAAAAAAAATATCTTGAAAAAAATGAATTTGAAAAATGTAACTAAGAGGGAAACATTTTTTAAAAGCTAAATCTGAGAAAACAACAAAGCAAATCTTTTTTTTAAGTTTAATTTCTTGAATTGCATTTTTACTATTTGCATTTACGAAATGTGTTTTTTTGCAACAATAATGGAAGAAAAATCACTCCGTATTCTTCCACTCCTCTGTGAAACTCTCTTAAGAATCACTGTGCAAAATTAATCCAAATAAATGTGGCTTTTCTGCCCTGATAACAATAATCCAAGCTGTACCGAGGTGTTTAGAGCGTTTTATTTACAAACTAAACAGTATTGCGTAGATGTTTTGCATTCATACAGTAACTGAGTGTGTGGCTGTGTCTGCACCGTCTAAAACTAATTAAAAAGCTTTATTTGCTTAGTTTGATAATCCAAACTCTTTGGTGTTCCAGGATCTTTTCCCAATTAAACACTGCATTTTCTAACATAAAGTTGAAGGTGTTCATGAGAAGGTTAAAGTTTGGACTGATGAGTAATGCAGCCAACACAGTAGAATCACAGAGGCTCTACATGTTGCTTGAAACTAGGATTTGAAATAAGCCGCATACCGAAAACAGACATGACATTCCGTGTGCTGAAAGGAGGAATGAATCTACTGTATGATTCGTTATTGGTTTTTAATTCATCAGCTTCTTTTTGTGCCTTCTATCCTCCCTTTAGCTGTGCGACGGCATATATCCTTCTAGCAGAGGAGGAAGCCACCACCATAATGGAGGCCGAGCGATTATTTAAACAGGCGCTTAAAGCTGGAGAGGGCTGCTATCGGCGCAGCCAGCAGCTCCAGCACCACGGTACACAGTATGAGGCCCAGCACAGTGAGTACCATGCTGGATCCATGACTGCTGGTTCAGTGCTTTATGAAAATATTCAGACCCCTTCAACTGGGCTGTGTTTTGACTTTAAAACCATATGTGTTTTTAATAAATTATGGGATATTATGGAATAGATTGACAGACTGTTGGGCCCTAATTGGAAGTGAATTTTATTCAACCATGTCTCCATGCTCCTTTATTGTTTGTCTTTTGCTGCTTTCCACATATTACCTTTTAGAAGCGAACGGGAACATTCATTTCCACTGGGTTTCTGTAATAAAAATAAAATTGAATCATGTCTGTGTCTCTTTAATTCAATTCAAATTAATTCAGTTTTTTGATTCAAAGTTTTCTATCTAAGGAAAACCAGTTGATTGCATTCACCGGTAGCTTGTTTTAGGGCTGGCAGTTGACTTATTTTAGGTTCCAGGATAAATGAGGCTTAATCTACATTAAAATCAATATTTCTTTTTGTAAAAGTTTTCAAAACCCATGCATTATTTTTCTCACATTTAAAAAAATTGCTGCTCTTGCTGTCAATCTTTGGCGAAAAGTGAGGAAGTTAAAATGGTAGGAATACTTTTAAAAGGAACTGTAACCTGAGAGCAGGCATGTATTTACTAAAAGCATCCAGTTTTGGCTGATTTAGCTGATTTGGTTCCCTGTGTGTTTGTCCTCCAGGAAGAGACACCAATGTGTTGGTGTATATAAAGAGGAGGCTGGCCATGTGCTCCAGGAAGCTGGGAAGAACACGGGAAGCAGTGAAGATGATGAGAGATGTAAGGCGGCCAGCAAATCATCTCCACACTGATCAAACATGCAGTTTTTATAGCTGATGAAAACTTTTTTGCTCTCAACTATTAAATGACTGCACCTTTAGTTTTTCTAGCTCCCTATTTATCACACCTGTGCTTTTGTATACACATCATTGTTCTGCCTGTTGACTATGCTGCCCCCTGCCTGATCTAACATGTAACAACAGTTGTGTGTTTTCCAGTTAATGAAGGAGTTCCCTCTCCTCAGTATGTTCAACATCCACGAGAACCTGCTGGAGTCGTTACTAGAGCTCCAGAACTACGCCGACGTCCAGGCGGTTCTGGCCAAGTACGACGGTGAGTTTACCACTCACCCAAACAGAGTCCACTGGACTCTGCAGTCTCTTTTGTAGAGTTTATTACTGAAAAACTGTAAGAAATTATGCGTTTACCTGAAAAAGCCCAAATCTAGAGAGTTATTAAGCAGCAACTCTTAGAATTGACTGGACCAAGCCGGAGTATCTGGGGCTCAAAGGTTCATTTAGCCCTTCCCATTTAATGCTCCACTGGCTTGATGGTTTTAATTTTAGAAATGGAAGCGTAATCCTGCAGACATCTGTTTATCTGTAAATGTGCTGTTTAAGATTTAATGAAGTAATTTAGCAGGAAAATGTGTTGAACCCATTAAAATGTAATGCAGGTGTTCAGGGGGACAAGTTTGCACTGAGTGGAGTGACTGGATCACAGTAATGCTGAAATGTCCTGATTGGGTTTAAAGTAGATTTTGGAGGAGTTTGAACTAAAATGGCAAAAGGAAAGCGTGTTATGTGTCTCGGAGAGCTCTTCAGACAGAACCTTGCAAGGACATCAGAGGGATGTCCTTGCAGGTCCCTGAGATGCGTCGACCAGGGCCTCCTGAATCCATGTTAGTTTCTTATCCACCGTTAAGTAATATGCTTAAATACAGCAGGTTGTGTCATCTGATTTAAGATTGGAGTCACATGATCTACATTATGCTGCTATAGACTTATGTTGCTGGAGGACATGGGGACCACTTCTCGTCACCTTGCTTTGTTCTGCTCAGTGGAACCCTGACTCTCTTTGAAATACCGAAAAAAAATCTGCTTTTTATTATTTCTACTTGCTTCTATGCATTGATTCTCACTCTTCTTGTGACCATACTGGGTTTATTGAGATTATGTTCCCTCTGTGAAATGAAACCAATCACGTCAAGAAAAACAAGCTCAGTAACTCGCATTTATTGGTACCCATAGTTGAAAAAATTACTTTAAATAGATCTATCTTTTATTGAAGTTGCTTAATTCTAGACTGAAAAACTTTTTACTTTGGTAAAACAATGCTATGTCACAAAAAGAAGTTGTTTTTAACAAAATTAGCAGTTGCTCAAATCTATAAGTGACACATACACCTGGAGGTTAGTCCTTTCCAGTAAAGTTGTCGAAGTGTCGTCTCTACTTCAGCTCAGCCCGCAGCTTTTCTGCAGGATTTAATGCTGCTGTCAGTTCTTCTACATTATATCACATCCCCACTTTATGCAATTGGAAAACTCAGTTGCAGGGACCCCTTTGTAACCCAAGTAGGGCGCCACAAAGGGGGTTTTAGGCACAAAAGTAGAATTTTATGCAAGGAATAGTCTACAATTATCTGGGACATGTAGACAGTGCTATTAGATGTATTTATGCAGTTTATAATCCAACAAAATTGGATTTTGGGTGAGTCGTCCTTTGAAATTTCCTTTATCACAAATGTTAAACTAGAAAAAAATATTTTTTTATTACCTTTCTTCAGGCTTTAGCCTCCTTTAGGCCTCAGTAGTGGAGCAGAGCTACAGGTTCACCATGGTAACGTGTGATGGTAGGATAAAGAGTTGTCACATCCGGCATGGCGGTAGCATCTTAGCTCTCCCACTGCTACAGAGCTGTGGGGGATTAGTTTCCCTCCATAATCGTCCTGCGGGCTGTGTTAGAGAAAGATAAAAATGCTCTCTGTCCAGCTGTGGGGTAAATTGGAAAATTAATTAACCAATTATTTATACTTTTTTAAGTTATTTATTAATGTAGGGTTTCCTTCACCACAGCCTCAGGTTAAGAGTTTTAGAGAAGACTTTAAAAACCTGCTAAGATCATTTTTGTCCTAATTCCTCCTTTTCTGTCTGCTTTTGTCCTCCTTGCAGATATTAGCTTACCCAAGTCTGCAACAATATGCTACACAGCAGCCTTGCTCAAAGCCAGGGCGGTATCGGACAAGTGAGTAACACCTCCCTCCGACCGCGCTGCTGATTCCTGGTTATAGAGCTTTAAAAGGTGCTGGATGGGTTCAGGACGACACCATGCGGTGGTCGCCTTCAGCAGAAGCTCTTTACTTGTTTTAATGATGATACAATGGTTTCAGGATGTCAAAGCTGGTTTGTTTTGTGTAGGTTCTCTCCAGAGGCGGCGTCCAGGCGGGGCCTGAGCACAGCAGAGATGAATGCAGTAGAAGCCATCCACAGAGCGGTGGAGTTCAACCCCCACGTCCCCAAAGTGAGTCACCACACTGATAGGACGCATCATGAGATCTCAGTACAGCCATGTTCTGTTAGGAATATTAGTGGAGCGTGAAAAGAACAGCACCTCTAAAGATCTGACGCGAAAGTTTGAAAATATCGGGTTAATGCGTGTTTTTCCAACATGGGTCTCACAATTGGTGTTTGGCTCACTTCCCACTGGCAAAAAAAGCTGGGTCTTACCCATCGCTGGGAAGCTGAGTGTCCCCCCCCGCGGCTGCATGTCTGGTGACACCATCACACTGGGTTAGCTTTGATGATGTCACCTGTGCAACAGAAATCAGGAAAGTAAACAGTGGAGAGCAACATGTAAGGAGGCCAGGGTGTAGTAAGTGTGCTTTACCGTTTCATCTTTTTATCTGTCCCAGTCCCTCCCACCAGAGCCGTGACACGTTTAACCAATGTAAACAGAGTTGTTTCAGCCTCTTAGGTCAGAAGCGCCTGCCGTGGTGTGTCGACGTCGTTACGTTGGGTTTAATAATATCACATAAATTAGTGGGTCAGCTGGTGTTCCCAAAACATGTCGATCAGAGACTAAGAGATTTTAACGTGGGTCCTTTGCTGAGTCGTTTGACCCGGGTAGACACGCCTCAGCTGTTCCCACTCCCACTAAAAACCAATTGTTGTCAGGTTTAAACTGGTTTTTCAGCCAGTGGAAAATGGGTATAAGAAAAAACTACAGGTCAGAGGGGACTGGATTCTACCTCATTCAGCCAGAGATTAGATGTTCCTTGTTCTAAAATGGTCTAGTCAAAGTCCTGCCCTGAATCCAAAATTATAATTATCTTTTATATGTTGTTATTTACGTTGCGATGAATTTTACCCGCCGCAGTTAGCCGTACCTCAGGGTCAGAGGGCTGCTGCTGTACAGAGGCGAGGAGAACTATGAGGCTTAGGGCCTCTGCTCAGAGAACCAGAGCGGCTCTCTGTGAGATTCAGAACAGAAGCATCCTGATCTAAGTTCAGTCCTCTACTAGACCAGCAAAGCTAGAATGAAACCTTTCCACATCTGATTCTCCTCCTCTTCATCTTCAGTATCTGCTGGAGATGAAGAGTTTGATTCTTCCTCCAGAACACATCCTGAAGAGAGGCGACAGCGAAGCCATCGCCTACGCCTTCTTCCACCTCCAACACTGGAAAAGGGTGGAGGGGGCACTCAACCTGCTGCACTGCACATGGGAAGGCAGTATGTATATATAAACACACACACACTCTCTGACCTAAGCACTTTGATCCACTGTCCTTGTTTACGTTTTATTTATATTTTCCAAGCGTTCAGAATGATTCCATATCCTCTGGAAAAGGGTCACCTCTTCTACCCCTACCCCATCTGCACAGAGACGGCCGACAGAGAGCTGCTACCCAGTAAGAGGCACTCAAAGACACACACAGTCAGAGAAGGTGGATAAAGTCACACGTTGTGTTTTGAATGTTTGGAGGCAGCATTAAACATCAGTGATTGTTCTAAACTCCAGCAGGTTGTTATGATTGTTTCCTTTATTTCTCTCAGGACCTGCAGAACATCTTTGTTTGCAATCCTGTGGTCTGATGTACGTAGTGGTGCTCAGAGCTAACATTGTGTCGTTGTGTGTCCCTGTGCCGCGTGGAAGCAGTGTTTCATGAGGTGTCGGTCTACCCCAAGAAGGAGCTGCCCTTCTTCATTCTCTTCACCGCGGGTCTCTGCTCCTTCACCGCCATGTTGGCTCTACTCACACACCAGTTTCCAGAACTCATGGGAGTGTTTGCTAAAGCTGTGAGTACACACACAAACAAGCAAACAAACACACACACACACAGTCGTCTTGCTTTATGTAGTATTCACTCCCATTGATTTTCAGTCATTTTCAACCCTTGCTGTTTCCTAACCCTAAACGTTTAGTTAGCTAAATGTCCTCACTCCAACAGTTAGAAACTGAAACTGCTCCTCACTCCTATTCTAAAACAGGAGCACACACACCTGTCAGGTTCGCTGACAGGATTTTTGTTGTTAAATATGCATTCCCCACTAGATGGCCCCAGTGAGCATTTGTCCTTAAGGGCAGATTATACTTCTGCAACCGCACACATCAAATGTCGCTTGGGTCTGGTCACGAACCCGTTTGGCTGGTGTGCTTCTGCACCGTCGGTCTGGAATTTCTAGGGAAGCACAGCAGTTTCCCGCCAAAGTGCAAGGGGGAGCCTATTCGAGAACTCGCGAGAACTTCGGCGGATGGTCACGAGAACTTTGCCAGCGCCGGCGGGAGTATTTATCTTCTAAAACATCAATGGTGCGTCTGCAAGATATCACAGTCACGGAGATAGATCTAGAGTTGCTAGACATCGAAGAGGAACAAGTTCTGTTCATGGAGTTGGCAAATAGAGTGATTAACCGTTCGTCGTAGTTGTCCATTGTAGTTGTTCCTCGATTTTTTTAAGATTTCGCGACCCAGCACCGAATCGAGAAGGACGACCACATAGACAGCTGGAAAGGCATACCAAGAACCAATCAAAGCTGCTTTTTGTCTGCGCACTTGCAGTAGAGGTCTGCGTGGGTTTGCGACCGTCCAACGCGTAGTTAGGATTGACATTAGCATGACAACGGTTGCAGAATCTCTGCGCGGGGGGGTGTGGTCGCGCACAGAGACAGATTTGACGTTTGCAGAGGCTATGCGTCAGAAACATTAATTGGCCGTTAGATCCGAATGTAGGTTTTAAATATAATCGCTGTGCTTAAAGGCTGGATATTCGATTCCTCATTTCATTAAAACTGGGCAAAAAACTTCTGCACCATTTCATTATTTTATCGGATTCAATGTTTGAAAATAGTTTATTAGTGATGGGTTTAGTGTTAGCAGTTGGTAAATGCTGTCATGTGGATCTGGATGGTGAAAGGAGTTTTTCTGTCCATTTTATTTTCTTCTTCCTCTATAGGAACGAGTTGTTTTGGTTTTCCTTGTGTCCCTCTTTACTTCCAACATTTCTTACCATAATTTTTTGTTGTGTTTAGTTATTGAGAGGATTCTCCTCTAACTCTCAGCTTAGATGCTCTGGAATCAGAGCTGCTGATTAAGGTTGCATCGATTTCATAGTCAGAAATCTCACAGGTTGGTCTCTCCACCACCTGCACACTTCACACAGATGAAGCTCCGATCTTTACTTTGAAGTTCTCTTTGATGCTGAGGCAGATCAGTGCCTTGCCGTCATCCTCCTCGTCACTTATCTACCATCTTCCTCTCTGACACTTTGGTTGAGCCCCTATCGTTCCTCAGCTCCACGATGTTCAGGTGTTTTGTTTATTAGAGGGTTCAGGATCAGTACCGTCAGACCTGCTATTTTTCAGCAGCAGTTTTGGATGTTTTGGACCTTTAGCTGTTGGTTCTTTTACATCACAGCAGAGCTGTGACGACTGAATGCAGAAACTGATAAAAAAAAAAAACGTCAATGTCTATTTAGCCTAATTAAAGTGGATAAATAAGATGATCTTGATATTTTTGCACTTTAACTAAAATCATTTATTTTAAATATAAATCATTCTAGAGGCAAATTGTCTCACTTGAAGAAAAAAATGCCTGGCATGTCAAAGCAGTGCTGTCAGAGAGCAGATTATAAGATCCGTCTGTTTTTGCAGAAACCTGTTTAGTCTGAAATCCTCAGTGTTTAGGAAACGCTCCTCTGATGTCAGCCCCTACTTCTGATCTCTGATTAGTTGTTTCAAACAGGAGTTAGAACAACAGCTGCATGATAATGGAGGCGGCAATTAAAACATTTAGAGCAAAGCATCAGATGAGATCCGGTCAACTTCATCATCGTCATCTGGTGCTTCTAATCATTTTATCCTGAACTAAACTGATCGAGTGTCGGATTTTAAATGTGCTGCTCAGGTGTTAAAGCATCTAAAACCTGCAGGAGAGGAAGCGAGAAATAAACTGGGAGATTTTAACAAGCATAGAAAAAGATAAAATAAATTTTTTTTGCAAAGTTTTTCAGATATAATAGAAATGAGAATCTCCTGAAACCTTCTTTGTTTTGTTTTTTTTAGTTCCTCAGCACTCTGTTCGCTCCTCTGAACTTCATCATGGAGAAGGTGGAGAGCATCCTGCCGTCCAGCCTCTGGCATCAACTCACTCGCATCTGACCCCGACCGACCCAGGAGCAGCACCAGAGAGCTGAGCTCTGTGCTAAACAAACTGCTGAACAGATATCCAGAATGCTGCGTTGGACTGGACTGACACACCTTTGTGCCAACATTAGAGTTCAAACCAAACAGGAAGCAGATCCCCGGGAGCAGAACAGCCATATCCATCACGGGTTTGGACTTTCTTTGACGCGTTTGCATTTTGAGGGCATTTCAGTCGTCAAAAGCTGTTCTTTTGTTGTACAAACAGAGGTGATTAAATGCCATCAATAAAAAAAAAGGGAAAAAATGTCAATAAACAACTTTTTTTGTGTATCTCTGCAAGTTTGTATCTCCAAAGTGTTTTTTATTTGGTCAGACGGTTCAGGTTAGTTTATTTTAACTGTAGTTGGTCTTTATTCCAGAATCATCTCGGGGATTATCACCAGTATTAAGCTTGACCGCGTCCACCTGTCACACTCAACATGTAACGCACAGCAGAAGACCTGAATATTAAGACTTAAACTTGGGGGAAAAAGCTGCAATATTTAAATCTCAGAGTTTATTTAGACTATGTAAAAAAAAAAAAAAAAAGAAACATGGCTGATGATCTGAAATCATCCCAACTGAAGAAGCAGAATATTTTAATGGGTCCCTGGGAAACACTGATGTTTCACCTGGAAAACGGATTTCAAGGCGATGTTTTTAGAAAGGAAGGAAGCCGTGGCAGGCTGAAGGCTACAGACTGAACTTTGTAACATTATCGAAAATTAGAAATGAACACAATACAGAAATGAAACTTTGCAAAGTTTCTTAAAAAAGGTTTTTAAAATAACTGCAGATTTTTTTTATAGCATTTATTTATTTGTAACATTTTCTTTTCTTTTGGAGACTTAAGTTTACAGATCACATTCTCCAAAGATGTTTTACTGATCCAAAGCCCAATATAAACGCTCCTGACCAATCAAATCGTTGCTAACATCCAGCAGACCAATAGAAATGAGTCATTGCTCCGCACTCCAGAGAAAAGGTTCAGCTTTTGAAAAATTATTATTTTTTTTTTTGTCATTACTCTGTCTCAAGTACAGAGCAACGCAATTCACTCTCTGCATTTAACCCATCCCCTTGTGGAGCAGTGGCTGCCATTGCGGAGCGCCTGTGGAGCAGCGTGGGGTTAAGGGTCTCAGAGTGGCAGTCTGTGGGAGTGGGGTGTGAACTCAGAACCTCTGGATTCCCAATACCCTAACCAGTAGGCTGCCACTCCCTCAGACAATGTGATCTGGAAAAACAATAAGAAAAATAAAATGCTATTTGTAAAACTCAATCTGATCAAATGTGAGACAACAGCAAAGTTTTCCGTATTTTCATTTCTGGACTGCATTTTATTTTTCTATAGTTTCCATGTACATAATTTCTTCCGATTGCAACAATAATGTGACAAAGTTCCCTCCATAACTGGCACCTGGTTCAGAATTGGCCAAATGAGCTGAGAAACTCCTGAGAATTGATTTCTCCTCTCATTTATCCGACTTTACCAGCTCAGCTGTTTCCTTCATCGCAGATGTGCCCTGCAGGTCTTGGATGCCTCCCTGCTTCTTCACAGCTGATTGAGATGACGGGTTGGCAGCAGAAATCTGTTAATCAGCCATTGATGGAAGCCAGGGGAGCTGAAGAAGGAAAACTTCTCAGGCTGAGGACCAACTGGAACTAACATGGAGCGCTTTGGATCCCATGAAAACCCAGAGGGAACAGAGCAAACCCATCAGATCCGTGGCTGTTTTCTCAAACCTGTTAGACACAATCTTCCTGTCGAGGTTCTTCTCAGACCTTAACCTGCGTGGTCTAGAGTTGCCTGTTCAGAGTGAAACTTGCTGGGGCCTCCAGGAGAAAAGATGTGTGCACTGATCTATTACAGATTTATTGATGAGGAACAGACGGTTAGAGTAATGTAGAGACAGACGTTCTGAACAGATTGACAATAATGGAAGGTGCAAAATGGAAAAAAAAGCTGTTAACTAAATGTGTTCTGGTATACAGGAGTTAAGGTCAGGTCTGTGGTGAACCTCAAGAGCGCTTTCCCTAAAGACGCACAACAGATGATCCCCTCAATAGAAGGGAAACTAAACCCAACAAAGATCTGTGTGATTATAAAGTGAGCAGAAACCCAGCCTCCCCGGGTCTGCAGTTCAGATCCAACAGAAACACGGTTGATGGGAAGGACGACAACCATCAGACGTTAATCTGTCCAAGAAATGTAATGGATTAGATAAGCTGAATGAAATATGCGTCCAACTTAAATACGATTAGTGTCCATGAAGAGCAGGTAGAAAAGTCTCTTTGCATTCAAAATGAATCATGAATCTTAACCAGAGTAAAAAAAAAAAAAATAAAGGGTTTAAATAGTTAAGCAAGGCACTCAAGTTCCAACATTCATTAATCTGAGCATCAGTGGTTCAGGAAGGAGGTGAAGCTTTCTTCAAACCAGTTGGTGTCTGTCTTGTTGGGAATAAACAGAAGCAGAGCAGCAGAGACTGAAGTCTACCTATAAATATCAGTGGAGCTCAGACCGTCTCAGCAGCTGATCATCATGTCTGGGGTTTGCAGGTGTACTCGTCCACCAGCTGCTGGCAGTCTCTGCAGCGGACGGCGCAGCACCAGTGGAACTTGCACTCACACTTGGTGGTGCGGCTGACGCGCGCAGTGTCGTAGCCTCGGCCGCAGCACATCACCTCGCAGCCGTCCATGCCGCGGGAAGTCCGGTTGCAGAGCCGTCCTCCGGTGCCCATTGATCCTACAGAGAAAATGGAAAACAATCAGAACCGAGGATCCTGCTGAACTGCCAAGTATACCAGCAGTAAGGATCAAATTAGAAGAGGGGAGAATTTCCCTCTTTTTATTATTTTGTTTTATACAGTACAAACTCCAAATGCAATGAGGATGTTTTTCTAATTTAGTAATCGATTAATCGTTTACTGGAGTATAGAGATTCTAAAACAGAGCAGCACACTTAGAGCAATTATACCAAAACTGTAAAAAAAAATATAAATATGTTGACTTTTTGCATTGAAGATAAAAATCTTTTTCTTCTGTTAATATGCTCTATGCAGAACTCAAGTGGAAAAGTTTTAGTTGAACCAGGTTTCATTTTGAAAAAATGTTTGCTCTCTGATTACTAATTGATTGATGAAAGAAAATCAACATATTAATCGACTAATCATTAGTTGCAGCCCTCCTTCAGTCCACCTTCACACATGAGCATCCTGTCCACATTGGTTTCAACATCTTCAGTCTAATGATGGAGCTGCATAATCACACAGTTCAGTCCAACAAATGATGTCCAAATGTTTGCAATAATTTGTGAGCCAGATGTCAAATGTCAGGACGTTTGGAGAAGCAGCAGGTCCAGTGGGGAGGACCACATACAGCACAGTGTACAGTGCAGGCCTAAATAGATCAACCCTCATCAAGGAAGGGTCAAACTTCATTTACCCTAGCAACATAGTATGACATAATCTTTTGGCTGTTATTGGATTTTCCATCCTAAGCTATTAATTGACCACGTTGGTCATTTTGCAACAAAGACTCAACATTTTACTGTGACTTGACAAAACAACTCTAAAATATAGTTCCGGTATATTTTAGGGTGAGACAATAGAACAGGGCTGGATGAAGGAGCACAGCTCAGAGGAGAAGACATTAAAAGGCAAATAAAATGACAGGATCATGCAGCAAATAAAGAGGCTGTCTTTGAAGCAAATTGATGAACTAATCATTGAGTCTGTGCTACATAAATCATGTAATACCCAACAAATACTCCCCTCATTTACATTTATATATGTTATTCTGCTATATCTTGTCTAGAGCGTCTTTTATATTACTTTTTTAAAAGTATTTCATAATCAAAATATATCAATTAGAATGTTTTTTTTAAATTAATGGTTATTCCTTATTTTTTCTCTTTATTCATGCCATTTATAATTATGCTGCTTTAGCGTTAGACTGCTGGAGGACATAGGGATCACTTTTATCACTATTCTCCTATTCTGCATTAGTTGTTTGTTTAACCTCTAACGTTATCCTCTCTGCTTTCTCTCATAGTAGCTTCATCTAGTGTGTTGCTGTTTGGCTGTGACTCCATCCTGGAGGGAAATATCAACTGTGCTGCTGCCATCAATGCCTTTGTTTATAGATGTTGGAGCTTGGCCATTTTTCCAGTGTAGTCCGGTGGTTCACAAAGCAGGTTTAACAAACTTAAATCCTCAACTCTGAATTGATGTAGCATAAAGTTGGCATCCTAACCCTAAAGTAATTCCTTTTTTCCCAGCGGAATTAAATAATCTATACATGTTTTATCTGAAAATAATTTCAGTATTTGTTCATGTACAGTAAAAATAAAATGAACCGCATTTTACTCATATTCAACAAACCAAAAGCAAATAAATCTCATATTCTATCAGCTGAGTTGTCAACGGATTCTCTCCATATAAATATTGAATTCTCTGGGAATTAATGTCGATCATTCTTTAGGATGCTCGTCAAACGGACATCCAATGTTTGTTTTTAATCCTATGTATCTAACGGACCTAATAATTTCTTTTTATGCACAAAACTGACAAAGATCTGATTAAATCAGGAAATAAAGCAATGTGATTGGCTGTAAGGAGAGCAGAGACAGAGGACACTGAGTTAACAGAAGAAAACCTGCTACTGACCAGGTTAGCTCTGGGGAGAATGTTACTATGGTGACTGAAACAGAGGTTAAGGAAACTCTATTTGTGAAATGGAAAACTAAAGTTTCCCTTATTTCAATTTCAGAAAACCTATAGTTTTCAATGACCTGCTTTTTAAAATTTGGCCCCTGTTGCTTTGACTATCTGCTCTCTTCATCCTCTGGCATGGGAGCTGGCTCGGAGCTCATCTGCCTGGCTGTGTTTCCTGGACGGGTTCGCCTGTGGAGCTGGTTTACAGCTGCTTTCTGTATCTCTGTCTCCTTGAACCCCAGTGAGTCTCAGCCAATGGCCGCTCACACTAAGCCTGATTTTGCTGAAGGTTTCTTACTGTTTAAACTGAGTTTTTCCTCTCCACTGTCACTACATGCATGCTTGCTGAAGAGTCAATGACTCGATGCAATCAACTGATTTTCCAACTTTGAACCACTCTGACTGTATGATCTAGTTGAACTGTCCCTGTAAAGTTCCTTGAGATGATGTGTTGTGAATTGGTGCTATTTGAATAAACTGAATTAAATTCTATAAATTAGGATGAGCCTTTCACCTGCTGCTGGATTATTGCTGAACAGGATAATAGAGTTTATCTCTTCTCCATAAATATTAATGTATGAACTTTATAGAAGTTTGTGCATATTTATATTTAGGTGGGAAATAAGCTCATTCCTCTCTAACTAATCAGTAGAATAAGTCACCGTTACTTTTTTTTTTAAAGAAGACTTTTATTGTTGTTTTGTATAAACAAGGCTCCATTAAAATTGTTTTATAAGCTAGACTCTCCACATGGTTAAAGAACAGCAGCTCATTTCATTTATAATTATCATGCATTTCTAAATTGTTTTTGGTGACCTTGGTGTATCCAGTTACAGGTTAAACTGTAAAACTTATTTGAAATTAAATGGGGTCTAAGAAGCAGAAGCTAAAATTTCTTAACCTAATTTTTTTCAATCCACTGTTTGAGTAAAAATGTAAAGTAAAAAAAAATCTAATTGGTCCAATCAGTTATGGTTTCGAGCCCTGTACATGTACATATCATTGTAAGACATTTAGTAATTCATCTAAAGTACATAAAGGGTCCGTTCTGAAGGGGCCCCTATTGGTCCCCATCTAGAACCGCCCATGGCTATGTCCTTTAAAGCTTTTAGAAGAGCCAGAAAAGGTGCAAAGAAAAAAAACCAAAAACTAACACAGTGGTCTTCTGGTTGTTGTTTTTCTGCCATCAGTTAATTTTGTTTTTCTTTCACACAGGTATGGCAGGATAATTACATTTTAATGCTGTAATGAGAGTCCCATAGGAACACTCAAATCCAAAGTAGAAATTGCAATCCAAAATGCAATATTTGGTTTATAAAACAAATAATGAAGGACAGCTCTAATCTTTATCAACTACTGAGTTTTTTTTAAAATAATTCAAAGTGAACTTTAGTTGAACAACTAAACAGAGAAGTGATCTGGCAGATGGACAATTTGAATCCAGTGAGGGAGGGGCAGTGAAGATGAGCTCTGGGGGAGATGTGGAGGTGGAGATGAGAGATATGAGAGATTGATGACAGGAGCCATCAGGCAGCTCTCACCAACTTCATCAGCTGTTCATTTCATAGGAGACACTCCCCCCCACCCCCCACCCAGGCAGGGTCTTTTCTCTCTTTAAACGGTGATTCAAATACAGTGGTAACCACCTGCTGTGGTTTATTCACTGCAAACCTTTATCTGGTTGATGTAACTTCCAGGTTCAGATCTTGGAGCTCCACAGCCTCTAACGATCAGTGGTTTACGGTGGGACGACGGTTCTGCTTCAGTTTGAAGAAGCAGAAGGTTAGATGTTACTTGAGGAACAGAAACATTGCAAAGGTTATCTCCAAAGGAAAACCTTTTAATCTACCTATCATGTTGGGATGCAAGGATTTATACATCAGCTTAAAGACAAGTAACATTCTTCCTACCACATTTTTAGACTATTCCAGTTAAATTTAGTTTAGTGCACCGCTCCCTCCTGCTGCTAAACAACCAGACCACATGCATCAACCTTGTTACATCAGCGTACGGTTCCTCATGAGCTGTGATGTCATCAGATCAGAGGACATGTCCCCAAACGTGTCCCTGAGTGACCCGTCTGTCTGTTCCTCTCAGAGTTAAAGCTGCCTTTCAGCTTGTTAACCTGCAGGAGTCCTTAACGTGTGGACATCAACACTAAAAGATTTATCATTCATGTTTCACCAAGTGCCCTCCTCTCACTGCGATGGCAGGTTGTTGCACTTATTGAGAAACATTTTCTAAAAACAAGATTAATATTCAACCAGAATCTGCTTTTGGTTAGTAAACCCCATCAAAACAAAATCAAAAAGACTTTTTGGTTACAGATTGTAAGACTTTGTTGCAGGTTAGGTCTGTAGCAGGAGCATTCTTGAAGAAGGAGCTCATGCTGACTCCTACATAAATAAAAAATTCCAAACTGGCTTAAGACGCGTCTCCAAACAACGTTCTGGAATTTCATGTTTACATTCTGCTTTAGTCGGTGTGTTCGCCGTCTCTGCACCCTGCGCTTCCACAGGTATTATGTCTGGACACGATCAGACGCCCCGCCCTGCTGTGGCAGCGGGAGCGTCCGTTATTTGTGGTATGCTGCATGGCTAGGGGTGACATCACGGCCAGCGTCTACCTCAGGGACCTTGCTCTCCCTCCGTCTGCTTATTGAATTAAGATGAGGGGGCGCAGAGAGATGAGTTTAGCACCTGAGCCTCGCTGGAGCCGAGGGAAATTGATTTCACACTCTGAGGAGGCTCGAAGGGGCCGTCCCACCGTCTCTCTGGGCCCCTGAGTGTCTGAAAATGACTGAATGGAGAGCGGTTTGCATATCTTAGAGAGGTTATTCAAAGTGTAAAGGTATATTGTCTGATTACAGCTCATCCTGGTGTCTACACTGAAAAACTGATCAAATTTCTTAAATAATAACCGTATATGGATTTTTGTTTGAGCGCATAGCTAAAATAATCTGTCAATGGAATGAGGAGTTTTGCCCTAAAGATCAGATAATTAGATATTATCCACTTAAAAATAAAATGAA